GCATCTTGAAGCTGCATAAATCATGCTTGATACTGTCTCCTTCAATTCCTCAGGACACACTCTGCAGCCAAGAAACAATACCATTATTGATGAACCAAAAAAAAAAAGTCAACTTCTTGTATCACGTCAAACTTAATAAAGAAAAACCAACCTTTCATGCTCAATGAGGTTGATCCTCTCGGTCAACTGATGGCAATAGCGTTCTATTATAACATACACATCCAACATGTTCTGCTCCTTGATCACTTGTTCAACCTATCAGAAGTCAGAACAGAACCATATTGGGCACAAAAATTCACTAAGAACAAACAAAAATACAGAAAGGAAAACATCAAGAAAAGCCAATCGCTCACCCTAAGAAGAGCTCTCTCATGCTGACCTAGGCTCAGGAATTGAAGAACATCAGAACGGGCCACGGCGCAACGAGCCTGGCGCTGGTTTTTGAGGACAGGAAGCCTTGAAATACCAAGCTTAATGTTGGCCTGTAATTTGTTTGTCTTCAAACTTCTTCCAAATAGAGCATCAAGCCTCTTTCCCATGCTCAGTCTTTGATCGTTGCTAGCCTTACTAAGCTTCTGATATGAACACAAAAGTGGTGGAATATGAGTATATGATTCAGCAGCACAAGGAAACAAACGAGCCCAAACAAACGATCTAGGCTCGTTTGTGCCTTTTAGGTGCTGAAGGTAATTTACGCGAACAATTTGTTTCCTGTGAGTAGTTTATATATGCGTGGAATTATAATCAGTGTGTGTTGTGTGTGTGAATCAGATCAGCGCAGTTGCAATGAAATTGAGCGTGTGGGGATTTACTTAGATACTAAGTCATTGGTAAGGACTAGGTTAAAAGTTCGAGGAAATTAAACGCGGCTGGTTTCGTTCGTTTGCCAGGGAGTCAGGTGGGCACGCGCTGGTGATTCGTGTGCAGGTGATATTCATGGTCCAGAAAATATTTTAACATTTTTTTCCTTAATTAACCTACTTTTTTTTTTTCTTCTTAATTTTAACGATCAGTATCAGGCTGTATCTAATTAGTTCTTTGTATTTTTCTCACTTCTACCATTCTTGCTTCACCTAAAGGGTCTTAGTTTTTAACTTTGGACTACGTTAGTCGTAACCTGCATGTTATTTTGTGATTAAATCAAATAGTAATAGCCAAGTATAAATTTTTCATTACTTTTTGGAAAAGAAGGTTTCTTTGCTATAGGTGTTTTTTATGATAATTTTGCTGTAAGGTTTTAGGATATTGAACTGTGTTTTTTTATATAAAAGGCATTCAAAAGTAATTCCTAGGATCATTCATGAATCTCACCTCAAATGTTGCTCCAACCTAATAATGCATAAAAAAAAAATGTTGAAGAGTGTTATGATACATGTCCCTAGTGTAAGCATAAGGATGACATGATCAAGAAACAAAAAAATAATTAGTACCTAGCACACAGTACTGAGAAATTAGCCCACGGAACAAAAACTGAGCTAGAAACGTTAAATAGCTAATTGAACAAATATGAAGCATATTAATTAAGAAAAGATGAAGTGCGTTTTGTGAGCTCAAGCCAAAACACATTATTGCATTTCCTCTATATATCATGTATTCTCCTCTTTTTCCCTTCCTAATTAACGAAATAATGTTCTAGTTGCCATGCATGTTTCTTCTTCTCCTCTTTCAACATTAAATCCCACCATGTTTCTTCGTGGTGGGATTGCTTGTTCCATTTGCCTTTCTGTGTGTATTTGTGTGTGGAAACAGCAAGAAATGCAGTAATCCTTAGTGTTAATTGTGACCAAAACAAAGTAATCCTTTATGTGAATGCTTTTTACCTTCCCTAGATGCAACATAGGTAGAGGGTCTTACCAGATCAATTAATTAGGTGAACAGCTCATTTTAAACTCATGTACAAGGTCAATCATACAAACCCAAGAAACCAGCAATTACTTGTTCCCATGATTAAGAACTGATGGGATTAAGGGTTTGGGTTTCTTGTAGAACTTATGAAAGCTCAGGAGAATCACTAAAGAGTTCCCAGCCACAAGGTAATCACTTACTATTTTATAACATTCAATTTACAAGGACATCTAGTTAGAGAATTTGCAAAAATTGTCTGCATGGAAAAAGTGGTTTCACGCGCTCCTGTGAGGGTAAATAAATTGAATGCTTACAACAAAGACTTTCTCTACTACTAATTTGTCACTGTCTATTTCTTGCGCCGGTGATATTTATGATCCTTAATGTGATCTTAATTTCTAGACCTGCCCTCTTCTCTTGGCTATTGTTAATGACGGAGCAACTCCTACCCCATCAGAGCAATTTTGTCCATTATGAAAATATTGCCCTTCACAATCTTAAAGGGTAAGAGATGAGTTCCAAAGAAAATGATGTAAGATTAAAAGTCTTTCTTCTTCTTTTTTTTTTTTCATGGCAATTTTTTCAAGAGAAGGAAAATTGCCATGCCATGGCAGTGTAGGCCTAAAATTCTTGACCATTCCAAGTTAAATTGAAGTATGACAAGGAACCTTGTGGTCTTAATGGCGACACTGTTTTTGTTTATTGTGATTTGGACCTCACAACTGACTATTGATTGCGCAGTGGACCCATTATCAGAGACAAACTTTATCACGTAAATGAAAAATCAGTAGTAGTTTTTTTCCTTAACGCCTGCTGGTTCTCTTACCATGTATACGACTCGGTTGATGAATTTCTCTGCGAATCCCTAAAATGGTTGTCACGTCACACGCATAGAAACTTTTGCCAAAACCAGATTAAATTTTGAATAGCTAATATTCTTATATCTGATTCATATGTTTTTTTGCTTAATTCAAAAGAGCAGAGGCATTATTTATTATGTTATATGGATACGATTCATTTATTAAGCAATGTTTGTCTCCCAAACCCCAATTTCTTAGATCATAACTATTTGAGTATGTTTGAGGATGTAAAGCAGTTCAATCAAGTGAAATACCCTAACACTCAAGTTTGTTTGATTAATTTATAAGTTTAAAATTGTATTCGAATTTGACTTGTTTGCTCATTAACCGAATTCAAACCAGTTTTTGCTCGGTCGAATTCGAGTAGTTTAAAACTTTCTACACACAAGCCAAACTTAACCTCAGTTTAAGAGTTAATCAAATACAACTTGCTATTCAAGTTTGGTTTGATTAGTGACAGATCAAATGCAAATGAAGTCTTATCAGGACAAATCCAATTCGAATAGTTCAGCTCGTCTTTTAACACTACACTAGGTGCCATGTTTCTTCACATTCTATCTAACGAGGGTAAAAGTTGAATTTAGATAACAGATTGGGATGGAAAATATTTAGGTGAAAAGTGGCTTCGACCCATCTGTACGTCTGAGCCTCCTTATTTATTATAGTCACGGTACTCCCGCGTTAGATATCTCCGTTTAGAAGCAACCAATACCAATGGAATGCAAAGTTCAGAAAAAGAAAGGAGAGGTCCAAATCCAAAGAAAGAAGAAAAGAGTGGTGTAGAAGTCCTTATCTTGAAACAGTTTAAATTATTTCATGTTCAAATCTCTATGCCTCAATATACGTCGATTTCTAATTTAGGAATGCAAGGTTAAAATGTGCTACTAATAAGAATCGATTCTCTTTTAACAGATATATTTATACTTCCACAAATTCCATCCATTATTTGTTAGCATTCGAACTATCTAATAAAATTGTGAACGTTGTCCAATAACCAATCCAAACAAAAGCACGACACTTCAACACCAACCAACGAGAGGAGAAAAATGGAAGTTTCGTTTCGAGTGCTGCCTCCTAGGTTTGACAAAAAGACGCGCATTGTTACTGTTTCAGTGGAGGGTCTCCAGGAAATGAATGCACATACTGTATTATTGTAATGGCAATTTCAGCATTCCCATCTTCTAGACTTTGAATCAAATTGACGACGAGCTATTCCAGGTATCGTGTACAGAAACCAAACCTAAAAGTGCTTTACCAAATAAATTATTGCGTATGCAACAGTTTATAGGCCTGATTCCGAAGAAATCACCAGCCAGAATATTTCCAAGAGAACAGTAGTGACTCGACGCTGCTGTTCCACATCCACGTACCTTTTTCCTAATTATCCATTCCCTTTTGTCGTTTTCTGGTTTGGGGATTGCTTGCCCTTCTCCATTACTTGTATGTCAAGGATTTGAAGGACAATATGCCATTCCCGAAGAAAGCACTTACGATTGATTTCTTTACGTCAATGGAGTAGAAAATATTTGCTGCAGTTTCAGGGACACAGAGGTACGGCCTATTTCAAGTAGGCTCTATACATACGTTCTCACCCTCAAATGTTCAGTTCGTCATTTCCAGATTGTGACAATTGAAAATCTTTCATTATATCCCACTACAAGTTCGACAATGAGTTGATATGAACGTTACTCTTTCGTTTGTGAAAAAGCAGTCCAAATCAACTATTGATTTCCGCACACACACACACATATATATATAGAGTGCAGAGACCATAATTAAGAAAATTAAAGTTCATTAAACAGCAACCATTTATTACACCAGCCCAACACTCACCTCTTACAGTGTGCACGCAAAACGGTTAAATATTGCACGCATCAACAATTGAATAATGTGGGCACGTAATTACGCGACCCTTTTGGCCATATACAGTCCAAAATTGCATCTACTAACCTTAATTCATTAGCTCACAGTGCACGCTATGTCGAAAGTTTTACTTTTTTTTTTTTTTTTTTTTGAAAATGTAGTAACTTCATTAATCTTATAAATTACACTTCTCAAGCTAGCCGCCTCGGTAGCCTTTTAAGTTCATAAAATACTAGATCAGTTACCAGGTATTCCCTAGAATGTTCATAGGCAGCGACCATGTCTGTTCAATTGCTTGACAAGGTCGATCACCAAAAATATGTGTGTAAATACATATACTCTGTTCGAGTAGGTTAATAAATAGAGAGAAAATTGGAAGGAGTGAGGGCACGGTGAAGGGGAAGGGTTTTTAGTGGAAGGAGACGCGCCGGCAATTGAATCAGTCATGTCCATATATTATTGCCAATAGTACAAGGAAAGTCAAGCCAACTATAAAGTCTATTATGATTGAGAATTTAAACGGACACGTGTTCCAATTCTCTATATCATTCAGCTCGAAGGCTCAACGGCCGGAAATCCGGCTATTCATGACCCGAACATCGGATAAAATATCAAATATTCAATTTGCAATTGGATACCAACAGAGCATGCCAAATGACCCGACTCAAAAACAATAGAGGTCCTCTCAGGCGTTACAAGTTCCACTTCTAATTCAGCACACAAAGTGGTAACGACAACCCCAAATGTTGAAGACCGACCCAAAAATCAGTAAACTAGCTCAGCCCCGTTAGTATCAACAATTCATGCCACTCCATGTGATGACAAGTTCAATACACACCAACCACACACATATTGCTAAAATCTTTGCATGAGGCCCCTCAAACATCTTCCTCAGACGAAACAAAGGGAACAAGACAAATAGTGAGGACGAAAGACTTCGGAAAGACAGATCAAGAGTGCATAACCGACCCATTCTAATTAGTCAACAGGTTCTTGTGACACCTGACACGGGGTGCATCCAGAACACTTAGCCAGTAAATGCCATCCATACAAGTATAAGAAAGCAAGACCATATTAACAAAGCCCAGTTCAATACCAACCACAGCAGGGACGAGTAGGAGCAGCTCTAAATAGTGTTCAGGTTATAGCTGAAATAGAAGCGGCATGTGATGAAAACCTTTTAACTCTGGTAAATGTGCGTAAAAATTATTGTAACCACCAGATGGTAAGTTACAAATACCATTTTATACTAGTTAGTTAATGATATGCAAGTGACCATTTACCTTTCCTCGCTTCTCAATAACACACTCACCAGGGGACGATGATACCCTGGGCAAATTGACAAGGGCAAATGCTTGCAGAACATGATACTCAAAACCTAAATCTTGCATGGAGAAGATGCTCGATCAAAACCTAGCTTAAACAGGTATTAATTACATTGAATAAATGCAATACCTTGATCACTCGTTGATGCCGAGTTTGCCAACATGCTGACAAAAACACTTTAAAACTATATGTACTTTACTTTTTCGTAATGTACCAATTTTAAAACTCTAAATACACCAACAAAACATCTACAATTTTTCTATAAAACAACGCATGGAACTCCTGCTGACTTCACGTTACTAGGCAATGCACAACAGTATTTCCCGACCATACCAATCTCTCACCAGCAAAGGCAAAAGAATATCACATTACTTGCCATAGCAATTCATGCATTCTTACAAATTTCTGCACCTAAAAGTTGAAGGTCAGAGGGAAGAGGGAGGAAGTGCCAGAAGACAAAATTGTACATTTTTTATTCACACCAGATGAACTCAGCTGAGACTTCCTTTATTTCTTACTGCAATCAAAAACTATCGTAAGCCGCCAAAAATAATCTCAAGAGCAAACAGCCAGCAAACTGAAAAGAGACCCAGCTGGTATGTTCTGTTTATTCTGTCCATGTCGTCTGTGCTTAACTTGTGTTTCCTTGCAAAAAGCTTCCTCTTTGAGTTATCAATATCCAGATGTAGAAAAGAAGCAACCAATACTCCTAAACTCCATCCTTGACAAATTCATACAAGTTGTGATCTATTTCATATCAGTTGAAATCTAAGATCAGTTCCTAAAATGCATTACAACCTGACAACTCCCGTCATTCTCTTCTTCATTTAAAAAAAGGCTAATTGTACTAAAGGAATGTTGCATTTCACTGACCATATTAAGTATTACTCAAAGGCAAGAAACACCAGAGTAGCCACTGTAGTACCTCGTCTACAACAAATACATGGGTATTCACTTTTTCGGTTCTCAACCTCATTTTCTAGAATAAAAAGGTTGATAATATTATCCCATGTAACCTCATCCCCGGAAAACTATCAAGCTAAAAACAATTAGATATAACATGGAGGACTCAACCCTCAGTATGTCTGCCGCTCTGAAATTCACTAGACCCACAATTAATTGAACTTACCAAGAACACATTTGTCAAATTTAAGATTTCCATACCATATCAAGATCCGTCATGCATGCTGATACCCGTGGGTTATCTAGTACTCGGGAGAAAAGGAAGCTCAACCAAAAAAAGTACAAATATACTTGGAAGTGGATGCCAAGAATCCCACTACAAAATGTTTTAGTAGTTCCACTAATATACTGCTCTTATCTTAAAAGCTCAAACTCCACTAAGGTCACCAAAATGACTGTTATGGAACAAATGTATGCCAAATCTGAGGCTGCAAGCTTATGCACTGAAAGCCAAGTAACCAGAAAAAATATTTTGTTGCTAAAAGATTATCTAAAAACCAGTTCAGTTCATAGACTAAGCGATTTGTTCTTTGATGCAGTAATTATTTTTTTGAAAAATATGATAACACCTGTTAGTAAATGATCATCTCATTGGTTTTCACATGTAATCAGGCTTCGATCACCTAGGCTTAATAGGCACATGTAAAGTGCCCAATATACACCCTTATTGGCTTCTTTTTTAATCCAAGCCTATTTCCATTCCTTGCAAGGCTACTCTGTTACTCCTACCAACCCACACTACTCCCTCTGATCTACCTAATTTTTTGCCGACTATCATATCTTGGATAATGTACATCCTATGCTACATTCACATCAAGTCAGACTTGTATGCTTGCTCAGGAAGATTTCACGCATGTCTCTCTAATATGCTTGATACAAGGTTATTAGAAATTTCTTGCAAGTCATAAGCATTACAAATCGCTCAATTGAAAAAACTTGCACATTATGCCTTAATATAATTGATTTAAAAAGGATTTATAACAATTAGACGTCGAAATTCCCATGACCTAATTCTTTCCCCTCAAGGATGTACTTTCAGCCTAATGACAGCTCCAGGTCTACATTTATCCCACCATAATACCCCATAAACATGAAAAGTAAAAAAAATTCCATCTATAAAAAGCAGATTCAAAGAAAAATTCCCATTCTGCTCAGGTGCCAGAGACCAAGGCAAAGGAAAGTATCAAAATATAGATTAAGAGGAGCTTACTATCAGAAATAGTTTGCTAAACAGCATAAATCTACAAAAAATTCACACATGTACAGGTTGGAGGAGTTAAAAACATAGTTGGAACCAGAAATAGCTTGACATCAGAAACCAACTAATGACAAAGGAGATGAAAAATAAGAATATACTTACAGGATATCAGCAATCACAAACGCCATAACCTACAAAAACAACTAATCATATTACTCAACTATTTCCCAGAAATTAGATCTGCTAAATGAGATAACTGCACCAATTTCAGATTTGGACACACACCTAAAAAAATCCACCTGGAACAGCATCCAATAATCTCCAAAGCATATATTCCTCCAGAATGGCCAAATCATAGATCAGAAGTAATGCAACCTCATTAGAATGGGGACCATCAAAGAAACAAAAATTACACACACAATCACAGAGATCTCAGCAAAGGATAAATTTCATGCCAAAACAAATCAGTTTACAGCATGCACCAAACAATAATGCTTCAAAACAACTTTCAGTAAGAATGGGAACCATAGATTTTTCAAAATCACTTCTATGTATACCCAACCACTAAGAAAGTTCTACACGCTACATGTAATCAAAAGAAAAGCCAAGACACACAAGTTCACATGACAAAATGATTCGCTTGAAATGGCTTTAAATGAACGTCAGTGATAAGCCAAATCTGACATCAAAGAAATATATGCAAAAGCATAGATTCATCCGTCTCACAATAAACACCTAGCAAACAAACCAAAATACCTTCTCCAGGTTGACTTTTAAGCATCTAAAGCACTGAACGGTTGCCTCATAGCAGAGATGGTACCCTGAATGAGAAATTTAATTAGACACCAGGACCCATATATTATCGCAAAAAGCAAAAACAGTGGCAACAAAACAAGAAGAGGACCATAAGCTAATGCGAGTATCCCTTATAAACCAATCATCAGCAATTAAAAAGGAAAAAAGAAAATGAAGGGGGAAAAATTAAGATAAAGAGAATAATACAAATTTCCAAAGTTAAGTTTTTATTTACAAAGAATTATTTCTGCCAACAAATCTAATTTTCGGGAGCACATTAAAGCCTGAGAGTTGAGTTACTGGAACCATATCTGGAATACAATATGAGGAAAATCTAAAAAATAGAAAGTAATTGAAAATATTCTACTGAAGAGTTTCTTAATGGTCAACATTAAGATCGAGTACAAAAGGTAAATACGCCTTTGGCGAGTTATCTTACAATAGAAACAGAAAACACTCCACTGACAGAAGCGCCAAGTACGAGCTCTCTTCCAATCAAACATCACCACAATTGCGTTCAACATGCCGAGCACCGTTTCTAAAGCTCTTATAGCCAGCACAAAGAAGACAGACATTAATGCCCAATGATTAGAGAACAATATATAAATGCAGTCATATGATATTCAAATATCAAGCCCAACAGCATTTCGGTAGTCACAAATCAGCATCAATATTTCACTTGCCAGTGATGAATGGATGGCTCAATGCTTGTGATACAGTGATTCTTTTATCAGGATCCAACATGAATATCTTATCAAGAAGATCTTTAAAGTTGGCTAACATCTTTGGATCCTCACCCAGACAACCCACAATCAAAGTTCCAAAATCTTTTGGCTTAACATTAAGGATCAGCCTCTTTACAGCCTGACAGAATAGAATATATATATATATAAGTTTATTAGAAAAAACAGACAAGAACAAGAAATGCAAGTAATACAAAGCATATAATCACAAATAGAAAACCCTAAAGGATCACACAACCAAATTGATGATTACCTTCTTTGTGACAGGGTCCTCCTCAGTGGCAAGAAAATTCAGCCCCTGATCAAAGTGCTTGTCCTTAAATCCACCCTGTAGCAACAAAATAGGAAAAAAGCGATCAGTAAAAAAAAAAATTGAGAACAAATAAAACTTCACTAAATTCTTCTGGAAAAAGAGACCAATTCTTAAAGCTAAAAGAGTGAGAAAGGAAGCATACATATCAAAAGAAAATATGGTAAAGGAATTATATTTGAAAGATACAAGCCACAGAATAAACTCTCAACTCCTCATTTCTGTTGTGTAAAAATTAGGTATCCATGTAACATCTCAAACACTATAAGAGAGTTGCAAGAGCCCTAAATTCAGGATTTAAAATGTTAAGAGGAAAAACAAACAAACACCTATAAAGCTGTCTCTCACCTTACGAACCATCCTCTTTGGAAATGCGCCCTTAAGCTCCATATGAAGGCGAAGCATGTCATTATTTGTAGGACCAGGAAAAAGAACTTTTCCAGTGTAAATCTCAAATAAACAGCAACCGACTGACCACATATCCATGGGATGATCATATGGCAGACCCAGAACTAAGAAGAATCAAAAAATAAAAGCTTAAATACCTTAATGTAATAGAACTCAGCTTGCAGTAAAATAACTGATGTTGATCAGGCAATCAAGTCATTTTTAGAAAGCAAATGACAAAGAAACAGACTTACTTATTTCTGGGGCACGATAAAATCGACTCACAAGATATGGAGTAATTTCATTTTTACCAGCAAACATGGCATTGCCAAAGTCACAAAGCTTCAATACATTTTTTGCTTCATTCACCTTAGGAAACAACAAAAAGAATAAATAGGTTAGTGTCAGAAAGAAGACCAGGGTAAGGAGGTATAGAAGGGAAAGATATTGAAGATAATTGAGTTTACCAGCATATTATCAGGCTTAATATCACAATGAAGTACACCACAATTCTTTAGATGTTTCAGTGCAATGAAGAGCTGCTTTGCATATGCCCTTACAGCAGTTAATTTAAGCCCAATATTACGACCAAACTTCCTCAAAACCTCACGAAGATTCATATGAAGAGATTCAAAAACTAAACAGAGATGATTCCGATACTTAAAGCTGGAAACAAAACGAACACAATGGCGTTTGTTCTCAGGGTCAGCACCAGCCAACTTTTTTAATATGACCAGTTCATCCATGCCAGCCTTCAACCTAACAGCGCAACAGAAGAAGAAGAATCAGTTCTGACAGACAAAGGACTAAAAGATGCATTATTAAACAGCTAAAGTCAGAAACTAAAGCAAGGAAAAGTTTAATTACTCACATGGTCTCATTATTGCGAATGATTTTTATCGCTACTTCTTCAGGATCACCAGATTTGGCCTTAAGATCCCTAGCACGAACTACTGTAGAGAAGACACCTTTGCCATGTGCAGCAATGATTTCATATCGACCATCAAGTAATTCTCCAAACCGATAGCCTGCAAAGAAAAAGGAACAATCAAGATTAGCAAATTAATATTGAACTGGACACCCCTCAAAAGGGATAATTAAGAGGATCAGATTCACCTAATCAATAGACAGTCCAGAAGAACTAAAAAGACGAGCAGATTCACTCGTCGTACCAGACACTCCAAAAAGGAACAAACAGGAAACTCATCACTTCTTTATCTAAATGTACCTCTTGTTAAAGCACAAAATGAAAATTAAGAATTAAACTTGACGTTCAAGCAGTAAAAAGATTAGAAAGAAAAAAAAAACTTCAGAAATTACTTTATCAAGTGAACAGTTAGTTAATATCACAACTTAGCTCCAAAAAGAAATTAGTCCTTGTGATAGAATAAATATAGATTTCAGACACTTACTATAGTACCCTTCTGCATCATCCCAATTGTCATGTAGGCCACTCCTTTCAATTGCTAAACCATCTCCCTTACCCTGAGGAAAATTTTTGAAAGCTAATCAATAAGTACAAGCAAATAAAATGAAAGAATAAGAAGTTATCAATCCACAATAAAACATGAATTTAGGCCACCACAAAAATACAGGAAAGGACAGTATAAACCAAAACGTTAGCCAGCTTAAGAACAAACAAGAAGCGATGAATTTATTAGTTGCAAAAGACAGTGGCAGATTAAGGCTTACCGTTTTACGAACACCAGCAGGAGACTCTCCAAATATATCATCAGTGAACATATCATTAGATCTTTCACTCTGCAAGGTTATATAATTCAGGCACAAACAGCAAAGGTTTAGCCAATTGTGAGAGAATAAATTAGACAAATTTTGAAAAAAAATTCTGAAAAAATAAATTAAAAAAACGAGCAAACAACTTGGAGACACATATAGCTGACAATGGGGACATTGAGCAGCTAGGGGAAACAATGCAGTCCAAGACACATATCTCCAGCTGCCTACGAAATTTCAACCCACCTTTGGAGTACCGGCTCCGAGTCCACCAGTATCAGAAGGCTTCTCAATAGTAGAAACCCCATTTGGTGGAGGGGATTTTCCAACAGAAAAGGATGGGTCAGCAACATAGTCATCTTGGCCCTCATTACGAAGATCATTAGATTCGAGAGCAACACTAACAGATGGTACCATCACTAATGGCTGTTCTCCTTGCTCTTTTACTGTTCCAAAGAAACAAATTTTTTTCAGGAGAATAGTAGATAAAAAGATAAGGCATATGCCCATGGAAAGTCAATATGAGAAAAAAAAAATCGAACGTCTATCACATAAAAGCTCGCTCCAAGGAAAAAAATCAAGCCATGAAAAATAGGTATTCAAGAAACCAATGCTGCTGCACTCTGAAGGAATCAAGTACAAAAAATATCATACAAAGACAACCTATTAATACAAATAAGGCAAAAGAAATACTATTACCTGTGTTTTCTATTTTAGCTTCGGAGTGCTGCTGTGATTTCTGACTTCTATGTTTTTCTAGTATAGCTTCCCTTCGCCTCCTACTTTCCTCTTTAATTCTTTCAAGGTCATCTTCTTCCTGTTCTGCTAGTCGCAACACAATTTTTTCTTGGTATTCTTCTTGTTCCTTTTCATCTCTGTGATCAAAAAAATCAACATTAGATGGAAGGAGGAAAAGGATGCTGATCATATTCAATATACTGATTGAGCAACAAGTTACCTTCCAGACTTGTCATTTTCCCTTCCAGCCATATTCTTCTTAGAACCATCAATTTTTCCAGTATCACTTACACTTATCCTATCCTTGTGACTGGCTTCATCGTGCCTCCTATGCCTGTAATCATCAATCCTATCTTGCTCACCATAGCCATCATCAGTGTGATTGTGTTTAGAGTTCCTAAAGGACCTTTGACTATCTCTATCCCTATCTCGGTCCCTATTTCTATCTCGGCTGCTCCCTCTATCCCGCTCCCTCCTCCTTTCCCTCTCCTTCTCCCTCTCCCAGTCCCTGTGCCTCTCTCTCTCCTTTTCCCTCTCCCTCTCTTTCTCCCGCTCCCTAGCCCTTTCCCTCTCCTGCTCCTTCTCCCTTGTCCTCTCTCGCTCTCTGTCTCTTGTCCTGTCTCTGTCCACATCCCGGCTGCCCTCTCTATCCCTGTCCCGCATTTCTCGACTATGATGCCTTGTTGACCGACTACTGTGTCTGCTGTAACTCCTTTGTTCATACCTAAATGATTCTCTGCTGGCAGGTTGGTAATCCCTGCTGGATTCATGCTCCTCATCTGAATCACTCCTATTCTTTCTTCTTGAATAATCGTTATACGTTTTTGGTGTATTGAGTAAAGAACCCTCTCGGAAAATGCTTTGCGACCTAGACCTTCCTCGAGACTGATCACGTGACTTTGGACAGCTCCCACTTCGAACCCTTTCACAGTGTCTGTCCCGTGACGGTGACCTTGAGAAATCCCTTTTTTGCCCACCTTCACCTAACAATTCATTAGTCTCCCTCAAAATACTTTCTTCATTAGAGTAGTCATTTCTCCAACTATGTTCTTCAACAGTTAACTCATCCTTACGGTATTCATGCACAAACTCACCATTAGAAATATGTTCAGTTCTGGAAGTTCTTTTCTGACCCAAATCATTATATTTCTTCCTTGCAAAACATCCATCATCTTCCCCATCAATCCTAAAATCACTTGATGCCGCCATCTTTCCATCCTCTTCATTCATACCTTCTTCAGAAGGCAAACAACAGGTATGATTCTTCCCCTCTTGATATACATCCACCTTCTGCAGAACACAACCAAAGTAGCTGGTTAACCACACAAACCTCAAATCTACTATGTCCAAGCAAAACAAAGTTAACAAAGTATGCCCCCACAAATAAATAAATAAATAACCATAAAATTTGTTCTTACAAATCCACTGAAAGCCATCTGTCTTCAGAATCTCCTATAGAACTTTTGACTGGGAAAAATGTAAAACCGGAGTGCACAGCTCCAGATGGAATTCAAATTCTCATGTCCGTTTGGTGGAAAACATGTACTAAAATTTCACGACAAAACCGATGACTCCACTAGCAATTGCAGAAAACAATTAGTAAAATCTTTAATTAGATATGATTAAAATATCAAATTAAAACACATTAAATAACTTCCTGTTTAATTGCTGAGAAATCTTGATACCAGGAGTAAAAAAAATCCTAATTATATGCCTGTTACATAAATAAAGATATAAATCCAGCATTTAAAGTGGGTAAATTGGGTTCTAGTAAAAAAGGGTCAAAGGCACAATGTAAGCATACTTCATATTTAAGTTCAGCAGGAGAAACACAAGGAAGCGAAAACCTTGGAAGCATACTACACTGACCTCGCCAAAGACACAAAAGCTGATATTCCGGACGAGTAAACAAACTTTCAATTTCCATATGGGAAGGTTTCCATTAATTTTCTCCGCAACCAAACAGCTTAATTTCTAAACTTTACAAACAGAAATGAAACTCTCCCAAGAAAAATAACAAAATAAATAAAAAGCAAGGGGTATCTGAACACACCATGTGAGAATTGTCAGAATGGCCCCCGTGAACAGCCCCAATCTCTCCAGACTCCACATCAGAACCACGCTCTTTCTCCTTTTTCACCTCATCTCCATCGATACGAGAACCACCACCACCACACTCACCCTCATCAACAATCTCTCCTTCTTCCATATCATAATCAATCCCCAAAACTGAACCAGAAATAACAGCCGCACTAGTTGTGCCACCAGTTGCAGCATCAACCACCGCATTCTCATTACTCTTCCGTTCCTCTTCTAGATTCTCTTCCATCTCGATTTCAGCTTCAGCTGTTGCGTCCTCCACTCTCTCCTCCTTCTTGCTGCGGTGGTGATGGTGGTGGCGATGATGCCGGTGATGTTTATGGTGGCGGTGCTTCCGCCGTTTCAAAGGTGCTTCGGCGTCGTTGTTCTCGTCGTCAGAAGGAGACCGGCGGTGCTTGCGACGCGTGGGTTCATTGGAGCCGCTCGCCATTAGCTGAAATTCGAAACGATGCGACTTCAGTTAAACACTAAATTGGAAATCAGACGAAATTTCCAGTTTTTAGGGTTAGGGTTTGGGGGAGTTGAAGAAGAAGAACAAGGGAATTTGGATTCTAAGGCTACTTGGTTAGATCCGCGTATGATAATTAGGATTATGCGAATAAGATAAACTGGGCTCTGGTTTACTATATAGGTACTCAAACTAAAGACTGAATATCATAAAACTCCCCAGCTTTTAGCATAATTACGAAATTCCTCTTTCTTTTACTCATTTATTTTTTGTTTTCCTTTTTTGGGAAATGATTCTAGTCAAACAGAAATTAGAAGCCGATAAAGGAATTTTTTATTTAGTGCCTCAAAGTGGATTTAAGTCAGCTCGCAGATTTGATTTATTTGCCAAAATCTAGAGTTTATTTAAAGTAGTGAAAAGGTTACAAACATGAACCTTTTGGAGATTTTTCGTTTTTGTGCAATAAATAAATATAATTGTCCTTATATGTTAATTAGACCCACTCCAAAAGTTTGCAAAATCACTTATTGATAATTTAATTCTGCATTTAAAATTAATAAATTCAATTTTTAAAATATTCAAAAGAATTTAATAACCAAAGTTAAAAACATCTGAATTCATTAAGTGACACTAATTTTTTTAGACAAAATTTGCTCCAAAAAAAATGGATAAATTATGCACTTATCACTTAATATAATATACAATCAAATATATCAAATTTAATATTTAACAATTTATTGACTTAATGGAATCAGATTTTAGACAACAACTTATCGCTTAATATGATATACACTCGAATGTATCAAATTTAGTACTAAACAATTCACTATTTTTATGGATTTAGATTTCAATTTTATCAAACACACCCTTAATTTGCTTTGGTGGATACATGATTTGCTAACAACACTGTAATCAGTGGAATAATTTTCTAACATCTCCATTAATAAACAACTTCATTAAAGAAAATCCTCCATCAAATATTATTGCCTGAATTTTTTGGTGGTAATAGGTAATAGGTAACTTCTCTTTGGTTACTCAATGACTTTGCTTATTTAACCAACAAACGCTGACGCCTATGTAGAAGTCCCAAAAAAAAAAAAGGATGTTAAAAGACACATAGGGCATTGCATTGGACTGCCAAAGCAAGAAGGGTAAAAAAAAAAAAACAGCTTGAAACATTCAACCCAATCCTGGAAATCCTCATGCCACATTGCTCACTACGCCAAAAGGTTATATGAGTTCAAATCAAAAGCGAAATGAATGTAGACGAATCCAACTCGAACCTGTCATGCGCATGTATGTTAACAACCTATTGAGGTCAAGGAAATTGAATGCTAAAAGAAAGAAAAAGCCAAAGAGCGGGGAAGTAGTCTAAACCAATGTACAAATGTTACTAAATCTTAGCATGTACATTTCCAATCCTACTTCTTCTTTCGATTTTCCTTCCCTCATCTTTTTCAGACAAATCCATTAGGTTCCCCCCCGGAGTCTTCCTGTTCTCCCAGAATCGGTCTCTTGTCTAAAATTAACATCTGGTGGTGCCCTTTTTCGTTAGGTTCATGACTGACATTTTTTTTTCCCACCCAAACCAGGAGAAATTGAAACTAGGCATGTTGAGCTATGGCATGAGGGTCCGGGACATGGGTTGGTGCTGGCTCTTGTTCTGTATGTCCATCACTGCCACTGCTTAATCCCTCTATTTCCAGAATCTCGACTCTTCTTTTCATCTTCTTCCTTATCTTTATTGCTATATCCGCTGGAACGAATCTCCCACACACGATTACCCTTGAATGTTGCTTCTCTATCGAGTGTGTCTCAATTTCTTCATGCATCAAAGGGAAAAAAAAAAGATGGAATTTTTATGTTATTGACTGAAGTAATTACGCAAAATAACAGAGCAGAAAACATAGGAAAAAATGCCCGGCAGACCTTTCATCCTGAGAATTATTCTCCTCATTTTTCTGCAGCATCCATTGCAGTCTAAACTAATCTTCATCACCATGCAACAAACCTGAAAATCACGACAAGCAATGCGAAGTCTTGGTTATTCCTCTTTCAGCATTGAAAATTCGACGAGTGACTAGCTATTAATTGCTGGCACATTTTTGTTGGTTTTCTGAAATTGACTGCTATGTCGTTGGTTCCAACAGGAAATCATAGGAATGCACAAAAGGTAAAAGGGAAAAAGGGGAAAGAAAAGGGTTGAAAAGAGAATGACAGGAATTGTAAGAGATTGTGCAGCCAGAGTACTTGCCTGTCCGGGCATGGCTTAAAGATGATGAAAAGTTGGGAGATGTCAGCTTTGTTATAAAAAGGACTATGTGAGGTTAACGATGGATGATATCTCCATGACTTGACTGGAAACGGGAAAGGTTGCTTTCTGGCCTGCTGAAGCATCTAATTCCATTCCCCTTTGGAAGTTGGAACCTAAGGGAAGGGGAGGAGGAAACTGATGGTTTTGGTTAACTTCCTCAACTTGTCATCCCTTAATTGATTCAAAATTCTTGATCCGGTTGAAGCAAGCATCACCCATTTCTTTAATGGTTTGCATCATTTCATACATCATTTGGTAACCATCTTTTTATTGTCAAGAAGGTTGATGATCTAATGCCTATTTCCCTAAAGGTTCAAGCATGTAAAATCACACAAGTCTTAATCACATTATTATTATTGGGCAAGCATGGAAGTGGGAAAATCAACAGCTAAGTAGAAAAAACAAATCCAAGCCTTCCAATCAAATTTTCAAGATTTTCCGAATTCTTCTCCTACTAAAATATACAACTAATTTTGCTGTTATTCAAGGCATCCGTGTCAGCAAATCTACTTAAGTATGAATTACACACTCTTGCTAGTAAACAAGGAGAAAAAAAAACTATTAATATGTGCTAATTAATTTCCAAGACACTTTTTTGCTTTGTTATGTTTCTTGAATCTATTATATTCCGGGGAATTAATGAATATCAGCGGCATGTGGAGAAACTTAGGCGCATGAGCAATATGGCTAGTTTGCTGAGCCGAGCAACTTGGGGGCGCGGTGCAGAAGCTCCTCCCCTATCCGCTTCCGTGGGAAGCCTGCAAGTGACCGTCACCTTTTTTTCCAGCACGCTGACGACCACAGAATCTGTCTCTCCTGAAATTTACAGCATTATCGTGTCAGGTATTGCCTGGTGGATGAGTAACATATAGCCATCTTTACATCTAGAGTAAAGTCCAAAACTTCATCAATTGTGACATGAGTAAAATTGCAATATAATAATTATTTGGCATAAATCTCACTATCCAAACACATTTATTATATAATAATAATCAATGGCTCCTTGAACTATTCATCACTATAAAAGCCTTTAATCTTTGTGAGATGGGACGTAGGGATTAAACTTTGTCTTCCATGGCTTTATCACTAACATGTGGCTTCTTTTAATCCATATAGATATGTATCCATTTAGTCTGATAATGATTTAGTTTCCCGTCGATTTTTCAATGGTTCAGTTGGATCTCCCTTAACATATGTTAGAGTAGGAGTAGAAATAGAGTAAATGTTACCGATTAATTAAAAAAATACACACACACACACACACACATTTATGTTATTGTATTCGCAAGACTATTCACAATGGTTCAGTTGGATCCCCACTCTAGAATATACTACTGTTAGAATATACTACTGTTAGAATAAGAGCAGAGTAGACGTTACCAATTGATAAAAAAAAAAAAAAAAAAGCAAAAAAAGCACGCACACATACACACATTTATGTTATTGTATTCACAAGATGATTAAAAATTAGCTATATTGATTTTCACTTGTGCTATTGAAGCGCATCTTTTATGTTCTTCTGTACAATTTACAGTGGTAAAACAACAAGAACATCAACATCAATTGTTAAAATCACCGACCATGGGCAAGGGCTACATGGCTAAATGGCAATATGAGACCATTATTGATATACTGGAAAGATGCTAGCCTTCACCATTATTGATAATCTTGACCACCTAGCCACATTAGAGCTATCAATAACAAAAGGGTGAGGTTCCTGAGTTCATCTTTCTTTCTCTCTCTCTCCCCCACAACCCCCCTCTCTTCTCAATCATATTTCCTGGACGAAAGGTCTTTGTTAACGGGACACGTTAAATCCCTTTCACTTTTGAGAAAAACCCAAAATAGAATGGTACAATTGATAAAAAGTAAAGCTGCAGAATGCAACCATTCCCACCGCGAGGGGCCAGCTAACGTCTCTTTGGTGCACCAATGTCAACCAAATACCATACAGGAGTAACAAACAGGACTGCAGGTTAGACTATTCATATATAATTTGATTAAAATATCCTTATAGTACATTGATTGCTTCCAAGTCTCATCAAAATGTTCATTTGAGAAGGACCGAGAATAAGGAATAAAATACAACCATTCCAAGTCTCTGATTCATTCCTCGTGTGCAGCTCACCATTTTTAACACCATGTAAGAAAAGCAATTTTTTATGTGTTTTGGCGTGGCATGAAAACATGGCACACCACCCAAATGAATTTGTGAGAGTTTGTATGAAACCTTGATTGATCATCTTTTCTTAATCTCAAACTTTTGGCGATTCATGATGAAGTTATTCCCTTAACGGATACAGTCAATTACAGCCACCCCCACAAATTCCCAGAAGGCTAGAACACATAGTGACAGGTGAAGTCCAAAAAGTTCTCCAAAAGGGGACCAAAAATAATTGCACTTTGGAATCCAATGAAAAGGTCCACTGGCTTTTGGAAGAAAATCAAATGAGATACTCCAACAACAACGGTCTGCACACAAATGGCTGCCATGATTTCGCACCACAATCTAAAGTCATGATATCTACTGCTAGGATGGAGGAGACAATATGCACTGCTAAAACACTCCGGAGAAAAGCAACTCTAGTTAACAAGGTGAAACGCAGAAGGAAGAAAAGACTTGCCATTCATTTTAGACATGACTTCTGCTACTCTTTGTTGACATTTTGCACATCTAAAATCTGCCAAGAAGACGACTTCCTGAACCTGCAAATTTCAACCAAAGATGAGAGCTTCCCCGGAGTGCATCATCCCAGATATCAACTATGCTAAAGCTTGAAACTCCATAACCATCAAGAATCATATCATCAAAGATATACCAGCTA